TGAAAAAAGTTGTGCCATAAGCTAACTTAGTTTGACCTAATCATATCATGTCCTTAACTTAGTAGCTACTCATTGACAATGGAAAAGGCAGATTGGGTGGAATGTATTAAAAAGTGGATTACAGAAATACAAAGCTAAATTCTGAAAAAACAAAATCTATCCCAAGTGTCCAAAAACTACTTTTAACGATGTCATATCTGACATGAAAAAGGAAAGTCTGTCTTTGGTGTTTCCAAGAACCCTGTTGATGGTCTAATTGACTGGGGAGTTTGGAGGACATTAGTTTTTAGTATAATCTTGTGTTACACTATCTTGTATATTGATCCCACATTAGGCTTAAGCAATGCATAACAAATCCAAATTATACCAATCTATAAAGAAAAAGTTAGTAGTCCTTGTGTTACGACTGTAATGGAGCCTGGCCATCACCACTGTAAGTCACGATGGTTGTAAATCAGGTGACCCATGTGACCGACTCAATTTTACGATCTTTTCTGCATCGTAAAATGCGATCATTTAACCATGGGATACTGCAAATGACCATAAATGTGGGCCAGTTGCTGGGCACCCAAAGTGCGGTCATGTTCTCGCTGGGGCAGGGGAACGGCCATCAAAACTTGAATCTGGGTCATAAGTACCCAGGGAGAGCCTCAAAATTTCAAATGGTCACTAAGCAATCAATCATAAGTCAAGAACTACCTATAACTGACCGGTGACATTATTTAGTAGTGTTACAAATAGCAAAGAAATTGTAGGTGTGGATTAAGCAAGAAAGGTAGTTTGACATGATGTTGCAAAAACAGACCATATTGTGACATGTGATCTCATTTTAGATGGCTAATCAGACTGTAAGTGGACAGCATCTACAGAGAGTTACTTACCTGCCAAGGGCTTTATTTACAGATATTATAAGAGATTTAAATGATTTACCTACATCCCCCCCCCCTAAATTCCCAAATTATTAGCCAACAAAAGAGGATCAGAAAACAACTCCTCCTCACCTAGAATGCCCACCACAAAAAGCCCACCTCTGCCTCATGGATTGACAGGGAAAGGGCAGGTTTGAAGAAGAAATATCTCTTCTTTTGCAACCATGTAAATCATTCTTCTCAAATATATTCATCAAACTGCATGGAATTTTTCACAGCCTACTGCAGTATGAATACTTTATTCTTTAAAAGAGTTCCTTACATTTTTTGAGGCATAGGCTTTGATTTAAAGGCAACCTTTTACTTGAAGTGATATCAGAATAGTACATTACAGTTCACCTTCCCTTAATCTATCATAACAGAGATATAGCTGTGAGAGTCAGACTTGTTAAAGCTTGAAAAAAGAGACCATTGAGGAACTCCGTAACAGCAGACTAAAGAACACTAAAAACATTTCAGAAAAACACAATGCTGCCAAGAATGCTGCATGATTGTCAAGCTAGATTCAGCAATTCAATGACATTTTAGCCCTGGGGTGTTCAACCTTTTGGCTTGCCTCGGCCCCACTGACTGAAGAGGAAAGCCTTGGGCAGCATATAAAATATATAATATATACATGTAGTGTGTGTGTGTGTGTGTGTATGTATATGTATACGTGTACACACATTAATATAATATATATTAATATACATAATATGACAATGTTAAAAGTTTATGATCTTGTGAGACTGCATTATTAGTTGTCCTGGACCGTTGGTTGGATACACCTATTTTAGCCTTTATGCACACTATACAATATCATTCCAGGAATCTTAAGGAGCAAAACCTGATAATTGCAAAACAACACATTTTTCCCTGGAACCAAATTAGGACAGGTAATTTAGATGTTTATATTGATCCTTTATTTAATGCTTAACTGCTTAGACCAGGGGTCTTCAAACTTGGCCCTTTTATGACTTTGGACTTCAACTCCCAGAATTCCTCAGCCAGCATGCCTGGCTGAGGAATTCTGGGAGTTGAAGTCCACAAGTCATAAAAGGGCCAAGTTTGAAGACCCCTGGCTTAGACTATCATCAATGAGAGACTCAATACTGATTAAAATCTGTAGCTCCCCATTTCCTCTGCTTGCAACTTTCCCTGCAAGCTTCCTCACTGACTTTCTGGGGAAAGTGGCAAAGATTACAAATGGCAATCACATAATTGCAAGGCACTTGGTAACTAGTAAATGTGAGCCAGCTGCCAACTACCCCAAAAGCCATCATATGACCACAGTGATGGAGGATGTTTTACAATGGCTGCAAGTCATTTTCAAAGCTGTTGTAACTGAATGGTTGTTAAACAAGTGATTGTATGTTGAGGATTACCTATGGTTCACTTTAAAACAAAATCTGTATGTGAATTTATTAAAAAGTGATATACTAATTAAATATATTTGCATGCACAGAGAGATTAGCTCACATATGTAAGACTATTAAACCCCCACTTTAGAATGTATCTGGAAATAAACCTGAATCATAATCAGATATACTTCCTGTTAATTATCTGCCACTTTATCTTTTTAGACTGAGGAATACAAATATTCTAAATATGAATCAACACAATATACAATATTGTGCTCTTATTAAATCTAAGACATATGCATGAAGAGTACTGAAAGTATGAAATATGACTACTATAAATACAGGTAGTCCTTGACTTACCACCACAATGGACCCCAAAATTTCTGTTAAGTGAGACATTTGTTAAGTGAATTTTTCCCCGTTTTACGATCTCTCTTGCCACATTTGTTAACTTAATCACTGCAGTTGTTAAATTAGTAACACAGTTGGTAAACGAATCTGGCTTGCCCATTGACTTTGCTTGTCAGAAGGTTGCAAAAAGTGATTATATGACCCCAGGACACTGCAACCATCATAAATGTGAATCAGTTACCATGTGACTGGGGAAGCTGCAATGGTTGTAAGTGTGAAAAATGGTCATAAGTCACATACGACCTACACAATTAACTCTTTGAAAATATATTCTAGAATAGATGAAAATGTAAAATATGCTTAGACATTTCATTTCACAAAAGACAGTCGGCCCACTCTTGGGATCCCTGATTTAACTCTAATATAAGTAGTTCTTCCTCCTCTCTCTGGCCTATATTATATTAGGAAGCCAATTTCTGAAATTACTTCGTTAATTCTGAAACCTTCCAGGGACGGAAAGAAATGGATCTACATTAACAGAAAGCCTAAAGGTCATTCAGCCGTCTCAGCCACTCGCAAGATCCTTCTCTATACCACGGAACCAAATCAATACAAACTCAGCTTTCAGCTCCACATCCTGGCTATTTGGCCCGGTGTCCTATTCTTGCTATTTTCTTGAAACCGCTACCCCAGGGGTAGGCAACCTCGGCTCTTTTATGACTCATGGACTTCAACTCCCAGAATTTCTGAGCCAGCATAGCTGGCTCAGGAATTCTGGGAATTGAAGTCCATGAGTCATAAAAGAGCCGAGGTTGCCTACCCCTGCGCTACCCCATAGAAGCACAGCCCCATCCCTGCTGCCTTCACCGGTTTACCAAGCCGAATCCCAGGTTTAAGAACAAATGATTAAAAGAGCAATTTCCCTGGGAATAGTCAGATGCTCACCCAAGGTTTCCGGGGTCGTGTGTAGGAATTTGCAGCCCACCGCCTGGGACAAGGAACCGAGGGGGGCTCGCATTAAATTCCTGCCCAGCAAGCGATTGATCGTCCCTCTGCAGCGGTGGATCAGCCACAAGGAGGCTGCCATCTTCCCCCTTTCCCTCCCCTTCCAAGGCCAGGCTGTCTATTGCATTGCCTGAAAAAAGTATTCCCACCACGGCAAGGTGTCTTTTCTGCCTGAATTCGCTCACCAACTCGATAGCCGTACACCAGCTTCCCGCCCTCCGAAGTAATTTGTACTTTTTAAGCGCAATTTGTCCTAAACAGAAAGCCGATTCCATTTGTTTACGGTGATTGCTATGAAAAAATGAGGAAGAAACCATTCTGGCTTTAGTCGATTTCTTTCAGTACATCTTTTATATTTCAAGGGTTTTTTTAAATATGAGATATGAGCACAACCTCAACCAATTTCTTTTGTATGTGCATCGGGCCACAGTTCACCTCCTCCCAGTAAAATAAAACTGTATATAATAGCATCTCTTACATTGATTTCTATACTGCATATCAACAGAATAGCAAACACTGAAGGAAATTATGAAGAACTTCGAATGTTACTTGACTGATAGGTTCGAGCTAAACACTTGTTGCAGAATAAAATTTCCTTTAGAAATCCATTTGGTTATTCAGAACACAGTACTAGATAAAGACAATGGTAATGTACCCGTGTTTAATTCAGAGTCTGACACCAGTAATCTTAGTTTTAACATGCTTTGGTCGGAGGAAAGAGAAGTAAAACAATTTTAAAATAAATAAAAGGAAAGATCATTTGATATGTTCAGGAGGAAAACACAAACGACCCAGCCACTTATAAAATAGACTATTATTATCTAGTCAGATAGCTGGAGGGGACCAAAGGATGGACAGGGGTAGTATCAGGGCTTTTTTTCTCATAGAACGCCCAGAACGGAGTTCCGGCACCTTTTTTGGATGGAACCTTGTAGGGTAGGCAAGGCCGGTAGTATGACATGTGTGAGTTCCAGCACCTTTTCTTTTTAGAAAAAAAGCACTGGGTAGTATATATACCTCTGTGTATATCCTCCAGTTACCTAGCATGTAACCCGCTTGTAAAAACCTCATCCATCTGCTCACAATCTAACCAAATCAAAGAGCGACCTGGAAAATTAAGGCACAGTCATGGGCTAGGCATGGGTGCTAAAAAAAATTTATCTTTGCACCACAGCATTTAGAGTCATGTTTGCAACTGTGCGTCTCTTCTTGGCCGTGCGCCCTTTTTCATTGACTCAGTAGGTAACGGTGCAACGCATCAAATCCATGAGCCCTCAACCAAAGGATCTCACTCCCGGACGGTGACCCAAAGCTGAGACTTCCCTCCCCGCCCTGCATTGCTCTTTGCGCTGCCACTTTTCGAGATACGCGAGGAGGCTCCTCCCCGCGCCGGAGTCGGAAGGGCCCGGGTCTTTCTCCGAAAGGAGCAGCTGCAGCCCTAAGAAGATTCTACTGGTTGTAGCGCTATGGCGGAGCCCTTTGGGGACTGCGCTTCTCCGTGCAAGAACGGCTTCGAGGAAGCAAAGGTAACGGGGTGCGCTCAGCAGCATCACCCGATTCAGTTGTCACCCACAAAAGGCGACTGAGAGAAAGAACGCGCTCGTAACCTAAGGTGGTGAGCATGTGTCATTGCTCGCTTGCGTGTCCAGGTCGAGTTTGAGAATTGACTTTATGGCACATAATAAAAATTCGACATTGCTACAAAAGAGCTTCCCTTTATTTATAGTAGGAATAGCATTAGTTAAAAGCCAAAAACCTAACGGAAGCATTTTTTGCTGGTTGAGTTTCTGCCTATAGACACATTTATTTAAATTTGTTAGTAACTATAGGCAGGGAAGATGCCACATTGGTGCTTGGATACGGTACTGAAGTGAGAATGGACTGTGGAGTTGACTTTTCTGATGTGACATCCAATTTTTGGATTTACTATTAGGTAAAATTAATGCAGCAGAGATAGTAGAGTCATGGGATCTCTAATGTTAATCATGAGCCCGATAGTATTCCACCAAGTGCAAAGTTTGATCTCGCCATTTTCCTTTTTTAAAAAAAAAAATTTTATTAAAAATATTTACAAAGCACATAAAAATTAACACAAACTAAAAAAGTATAAAAGGAGGTCAGAGGTTGAGCCTGAGAAAAACCTTTCAATTTCTTCTGCAGCAAAATTACATTTACAAAATTAATTCTTATTCTATGATTACAAAGGAAAAAAGCTCACTTTTTCTATTATCCAGTTTTTTCCTAATCACCAGTCCACAAATCAAAGTGCAGTTTTTTTCTAGTTTCTTGCAAAAAGTCTATAATTGGTTTCCAGTCAACCATAAATGTAAATGTTGTTTTTTCTCCAAGGAAAGAAATTAATTTTACCAACCCTACAAACTTTTTCATCAGCCATTACTCCATTGTGCGTAGTGTCAAACCTTTCCACTTTTGAGCATGTACTGTAGATGATACTTTCCCAATCATTGTTTTTCAGACCAAACTACCTTGTAGGATTGTAGTAATCGGGGGAAAATAGAAAGAAAGAGCACTTTGTATGCTACCTTGAGGTCGTTAATGAAAAGCCCGATATAAATCTAATAAATAAAGCAAGCATGGACAACTGAATCCACAGAGCAGTCTGACCAAAAACTAGCATGTAGTTGACATTATCTATATAAATAAAAATGTAAATGTTCGTTTGTTCAAAATCTTAAATCTCTGAAAGTTCTTCACCGATTGCTTTGAAATTTTGACACAACATTGCATTCGAATACGCGCGTGTTTTTATATACCTACTGTTATATAGATGTGACACAAACGTGCGCTTTCTCTTTTCTTTCTTTTCCATTTAATCAGACTGAGCCACAGCAACGCGTGGCTGGTATATGTGTGTCATACTAAACCATTCTGTGCTTCTCTTGTTTGATTTGTATGAAACTAGTCAATGTTGCTTTACTCAACAAACTGGTTTATAAAATAATGGCAGAAATACCTGTAAACATAGCCATTTTGTTTTAAAACTTCTGGTTTGAAGTTTATTCAATAAAACCAAAAAATCAAAACAAATCTCAACTTTGTGGCATTATAATGAAGCAAGTCTGTTTTTAACAGGCCAGAGAAGGAAAACTTGTTTTATTCCTGATTTTCAAGTCTATAAATTACTCCAATGGAGAGTCCTTGGTTTGCCCTTTGCACTAAACAAGGTATAGAAAAACCTTTCTCAATTTGGTTTTTCTTGTTTTACAAGACTTGCTTAGCAGGAATTATCAATTTGTAAAGAAGAATCTTTCTCAATCATATATAGTCACTTTATAGAGTGAGATCGGTGGCATATAAATTTAATTTAAATTATGTGACATGGAAATCAGGAGAATATAACTCTCAGTTCCCTCCTTTTTGTGCCAAAACATAGTTTGCTATTGGTCTGAACTATAATCTGTCAATTTACATCCAAACTAGAATTGCAAGCTTTGATCAGATTGACCTGGTTAGGACTTTCTATAATTTGCTGCACAAGGAGAAAACTGTTTGAAGCAAAGGTCAATCCAACTATGTTAGCAAATTATTAGTTTCACGTGAATGAAAAAGTAATAGCCAGTGTAGAGGAAAAATGAGAACATATGCTCAATATTCATGGAACACTAAATTAAAGATGGCCAATTTTAGTGGCTGTTAGCTGCGCTTAACACTTTTGGGAAGATTTTTATATGAACTCACTATCACACAAGTGCAGCTTTAAAGATAAGAAAACATCTAATATGTATTTTAAAGGTAGTATAAGTATTGGCTACTTGCTGTTTGGGATAACATTTGCTGGTGTTCCCAGAGGAGTAACTCCACTTGTACAATTTAATTTTTGTGAGTGAGCTATTAAAAATCTCCAAGAAAAAACATTTGATTACAAATCAGGGGAAAAAAAGAATTCTGGGGAAAAATTAATAAACAATTTAATAGAAAACAGCTTGCATTCTTCACTCTTAACTTTGAATCTGGGAAATCTGGTGACACTTTATCAGAGAAATGTACACACAGGAAAGATCATAAAATGTATCTTGTCAGAGCCATAAATTGTTTGAATATTAGTGAGACTATGGAAAGCAACAGAATTAAAAAAAAAGATATTGCATAAATATTCCAGAAAGCATTGTTTTACTTACATAAATCTATCTATCTCATGGAATTATGTATTGATAACATGTTTGATCCAAGATTCTTTTATAATTTAGGAGAGAATTCAACTTATCTAGAGAAAGCTATCTTTCATATACAAGACAGCCACTATTTAGTGTGAGATTAGAAAGAATATGTGAGTCAATTTGGTATAGTGATTAAGGCATCAGACTAGAAACTGGAAGATTGTGAGTTGAAGTCCCACCTTAATCGCAAAACCAGCTGAGTGATCTTGGACCAATCACATTCAGGCCTAAGAAAGTGGCAATGACAAACCCTTGCCAAGAAAAGTACAGGGTCTTTTCCAAGCAGTTTCCAATAATTAATCAGAATTGAATGGGGGGAAAAAAGAGTCTACAAGAGAAGTTCATGAACTACAACTCAGATTTACCTGCATTCTTTTTAAAAAAAGATATAGTTCGCAGCCCTTTATTTTAATTTAATAGGAAACACAATAAATATCTAACCTTTCTTAGAAATGCAGTTAAAGAAAGTTGAGAATGTTTTTTCGCAATGTGTTTTAGCCCCATGGCTTAATAGAAATTTTATAAATCCTTGGCGAATCCTTTCACAAATGTCTGGCATTACTTCCATATGTAACATAAGCTGCAGCTTATCTTGAAAGATACTGAATGAGAAAAACCTTTCAGCTTATGGAAGTAGGTTTAATATTTTGCAACAGTACATGTATAAAGGCTAGATTATACATAGCACTATGAACAATTACAAAGCACATTTTATTTCTATAACTATAGAAATAAAAGATCCATATTAGTGATGAAGAGCTGCATTCTGTCAACGTCCTTTCGCATTAATTGTTCTGGGATTGTTAATTTTTATCTGTTGAAATGTTGTAAGTGAAAGATGTCAAAGTGCAGATGTTAGTGATAATTTTAGGGAAAACTCCATTTAAAAGCCATTTTTAAAGTATATGCTGACAGTTTTACTCAAACAAATGAAATGAGTTTGAGAAACGTAATTTGTTTTTTTATCTGAAAAAGGAAGTGTTTCTTTTCTAGGAAAATTTATGGCTATCCAATCATAATGAAATATTTAAAGCGAAACATCTGTTTGCATCTTAAGAAGGTATATTCAAAACCTCTCCCAAATAACTTGTCAAGACCTGAAGGAGATAGTGCACCCTGGTCTTACTGGACCTCTCAGCGGCTTTTAATACCATTAGCATCTAGATGAAGCTGCTGGGAGAGGTCATCCCACAGTTTTTGGTTGCCATGTCACCAATATGTGGATGATACCCAATTGTAAATTGCTATGTGAGTTATGAGGGAGATACTGTCAATGTCTTTTCCTGGAGCCTTGGAGCCTTCAGAGAATACTCTGAAATTGCATCCTAATAAGTATAAGCTATTGTAGATTCGTTAAGGTTCTCAGTCATCAGTAGAGTTGTTGTTTGAGGAGTAAGCAGTAGCCATCAGAGAACAGGCTCACAATTTGGAGGTCCTCCTGGATTCATGGCATCGCCTGGAATAGCAGGTAGAAACCAAGTCAGAGAGACCTATAACCAGTTTTAGTTGGTGCTTACGTTGCAAACTTATCGTGTAGGAGGATCTAGCTAGAGTAACTCATGCCATTATCGCTATCTGTAGAGAGAAAAAGAGATGATGTTGAGAGACAAGTGAAAGAGCTGTAGGAATGTAATTTGAGTAAACTTCCCAGAGAAGACCTAGTTCTCTCTAAGATAAAGGGAGGGAGAGAAGAGGGACATTCAAATTTGCAAGTTTCTGTTACTATAGATTTATAATAAAAGTAGTCATTGATCTATATTATAACAGTGGATTCTTAATATGATCTACTTTACAGGGCAACTATCCCTTGTTAGAGTCAGTGTTGTCTCTCAATAACCATTTATTAATTTATTTTATTTATATAGCTGCTCATTTCAATTACATGATTCTGTGGGTGCTTGTAGATTGTCTACAGGATATATAAATACTGTAATGCATATCTTTAATCCAAATAATCAACTAACCATTACAGATGTATTTTAAATATATATATTAAATGACCAGATATTTTTTGTTTCTCCTATAGGAAACTGTGCACCCAAGGAATTTGATTCCAGAGCTTTGTCGGCAATTTTATCATTTAGGATGGGTTACAGGAACTGGTGGTGGAATCAGCATGAAACATGGGTAAATAATATGAGAAGTTTTAAAATTGTTTTAACTCATGCCAATTTTGACAAATGATAGTTTTTGAAAAATAAAACACAACACATATTAAGGTACATGACACTCTTCAGGCAACTCAAAACTAAGTAGATATTATTTATCTCCTGATGTAGGAGAAAACTACATACAGTTTAATAACTCAAAAATGTTGTGGAATATGATAAAGATTGTATAGTACTTGTGATGCTTAAATAATTCAAATTCTTTTAGCATAACTCACAAATCTATTGATTGACCGTAGAACACAGAATAGACAATTCTGAGTAGGGACATCTCTTTAGTATTTTTTAAAAATGTACATATGAATTGTTTGGAATGAAAATGCACATTTTTGATACAATGAAAACACACATTATTGGTACAAAATCACTAAAGAAATAAAATACCTGCATTGATATTTACTAGATCACAAATAAGTCTGTCTATATATTACTGAAACTTCGATTGTCATCATCTTTAACTGGGCAAAACAGTGCACAATAGAGCAATAATTTTGAACCAAGGTTCCTCAAATGAGCTGATTTACAGAATGTGTACAAATTCCAGAACCCCTGACTCCTAAGGGAATGAAATGTGGGAAAGTTGTGACTGCTTTAGAGCTGCAGGGTTGCTGTAGCAGTCACATGACCATTTTCAGTGTTCTGTTATAGCCACTCTCAAAATCCTATAGTCTCAGGGTCCCTAACCTTGAGTTATTAGGAACCAGGCCACACAATGGGTAAGCAAGCGAAACTGAACCATTCCACCACCCGGTCCATGGCAAAAATTGTCTTCCACGAAACTGGTCCCTGGTGCCAAAAACCTTGGGGGGGGGTGCGCTGGTTTAGTCCCTTCTGCATCCTGCACCAGCCACACTTATCTGCCAGCTAGGAAGGGAAGGGAGAGGAGTGAAAGGAACCCCACATACTCTTCCTGGGTCATGCTACCCCCCTCCATTTGCCTCTCAATCCACGATCCCGGGTGTCATCTCTAATATGCACAGCACCTTTTCAACCCCCGTGCCACACATACCCTCGGCACCTTTCCTGACCCACACAGTACTTCTTATGCATCCCCATGCACCCATCATGATCCATACCACCTCTTACACCTTTCCTGACCAGCAAGGCACCTGTTATGTACCCTCACACATCCTTCCTGACCCATACCCCCCATGCACTTTCTTGCTCCCTCCTCCATTCAGCAGCAGTTACTTATCTACCTGCTGGCTTTGGACTTGTAACTTACTAGTGTCTTCCCCACTGATTTTCTTCCTGCAAGCTTCCTGCATGGGAAAAACAGCAGGAATTCTAGAGAAGGAAGGAGGGAGGGAGCGAAGGAGGAAGAAAGGAATGAAGAGTAAGGAAGGAAAAAAGGGAGGGAGGGAAGAAAGGAGAGGGAGGGAAGATTGAAGATTTTCAATACTCCCTGCCAGGTTCCCAGAAGGAAATTCTGAGAAGGAGTTTCTCTGTGATAAGACGGGCAGCCAATAAATTTTATAAATAATAACATAAAATAAAATAAAATATTCAATAGGGAAGCTGGCAGGAAGTTGGAAGTCATTCCTACTCCTACTGCTTTTTTGCCCACCTATTCTCATTATTTTTTCTCTGTTTAGGTAAGAAAATATTTCTGAAATTTTGATCCAAAAGCGCGTGGATTGTCTAATTAGATAAGCCCAGTCATTCAATCTGATGAAATAGGAGATCGTTTTTTCCCCCAACATATGGAAGTTTGGAAATCTCCCCCAAAATGGAAAAAAAATTCAGGCATAATGCCATAATGTCTTTTAAAAATTCAAATTCCATTCTTGCTGATTAAACTGTATGATTGTATACACATTTTGTTTAATCTGTATACAGGTATACTCTCCCAAATGTTATCAATCTGAAACTGCTTTATTGGTAGCTTGGAAATTTCCAGGAAATCATTTCTAGTTGAAAGAAACCATTTCAGTACTTTAATTTGTGGGTTATTAGCTCCACGTAGTGGTAATGAAAGGAAAATCATGTAATCTGTCTATATAAAATAACTTCCTAATTGCAAGTTCTGCTCCTTCAAATGAAATTGTTCTAACCTGTTTATTCCAACATGTTTTCAGTCTCAATCTTAGGAACAAGAAAGATTTATTGGTTAAGGAATGATAAAGGAAATGTTTATTCATATACTGAAAGAGAATCCTTAGTAAAAACACAGAGGATATAAACCCTGTTGTGCCTCTTTTTACCCAAGATCTTTGATACACATACTCAAACCTAACCTCATCATGGATTTTTTTTAATGAAAAAGTCATAGAAAAATAATGTTTTGTTAATTAAGTGCATACTGAACTCTGCTTCAAATGATAGTAAAGATCCTCTGTCCCTTTGTTGTCATGATCCTCTCTGAGGAGTGGCCTTGCCGACTTTTGAGGGCTAGGAGCTAGAATGTATCAGAAAAAGCAGGGAAGAACCCACAGTTTTGCACTACTGATGTTCCTGTATCCCCAGATTCCAATCAGGATTTTATCAAGCACTCTTTGAATCTAAAGAGCGATGGCAATAGTGGGTCTAGACCACTAAGGTTGAAAATGTAGAAGCACAAGACTTAGGGGAAGCCTTACTGGGAATCATGATCAATTTTCAGATAACTTAATTGTTAGATTTTGGGTATTAGCAATAGCATTTAGACTTATATACCGCTTCATAGTGCCTTACAGCCCTAAGTGGTTTACAGAGTCAGCATATTGCCCCCCAACAATTTGGGTCCTCATTTTATCGACCTCAGAAGGAATAAAGGCTGAGTCAACCTTGAGCCGGTGAGAATTGAACTGCTGGCAATTGGCAGAATTAGCCTGCAATACTGCATTCTAACCTCAGCGCCACCACAGCTCTTAAAAGTATTCCTAATAGAAATGTTTTTACTCTTTTTAAGATGTTTTCTGCTGAGCAAAAATAGCTATTTACATGTTCCACTTCAGAGTAAAAAAATTTTTTAGTTACGTAATACATTCATGGATTTATTTTTCTCAATAATTTCAAACAGTAGATGGAAAGTAATATTTTTGTGCAGATGCAGGTTTACATCTTAGAATACAATATATTGTCCTTTCTAGTTATAAGGGGTTTTAAAAGGTGTTCAGTATTACTATAGTTCTGTTTGTATCAGTTGCTCGTATATATCTGATGAAACTGTTTTTATAAACTGTCTGGCAGAAAAATTATAAAATCATTTTTTGTCCAAGGAAGAGAAATACTTTTTCATTTTTCCATCAACTGTGATCTGCCATTACATCCAGATGTTATACATACCAAAGCCAAAAAAACGTAATGGGTTAGAACAAGCACATTGCCATGAGTCACTTGGAGAATGTGTTAGCATTAACAAACAAATGGTTAATTTCTTAACATTCCCAATAGCTGTGCTGCAGGCTTCTTTTACTGTCTGCAAATATTTTACAGTTTAGTGATCCAATGAGATCTGGCTCATGAAGATAGAATCTCTGCCACTTCTTTCTGATGTAAAAATAATGCTAACTTTGCCTTTAAATAGTAGAAAATCTGGTTTTACCTGACTAATTAACCACTAGGTGTCCCTGTTCTGCATGGTTCCAAAAGTAATGATGATTAAAATAGTAGTTCTTAAACAAGTTCATTTTATCCTGTCCCACAGATTTTATATAGAGGTGTGTGAAATATTTTTTCCTTTTAGCCATAATTACTAGCCAGGAAGCTTTGTTTGAAGGACCGTGTAGCTTCTTTTAATTAAGTTGATTTGTGCCTCTGCAATAACTGCATGTATTTTTCATTGGTGCAGTTTAAAGTGACAAATATTTATGAAGCTTGTTCTATATAATCGCACTGATTGTACTGGTGAGACAAAATGTCAGGAATTATACATGTAGCTTCATTGCATTAATGCTGACTGTTCTCGAATTAGCCAAACCTATGATAGTTTGTTAAGTACAGTTGCCAAAATGTAGTAGCAGAATCAAGTATTGTATAGGTAGTTCTCGACTTATGACCACAATTGAGCCCAAAATTTCTGTTGTTAGGTGAGGCATTTGTTAAATGATTGTTGCCCCATTTTACGACCTTTCTTGCCACAGTTGTTAAATGAATCACTGCAGGTATTAAATTAGTGACACAGTTATTAAGTGAATCTGGCTTCCCCATTGACTTTGCTTGTCATGACCCTGGGACACCACAACTGTCATAAATATGAGTCAGTTTCCAAGCATCTGAATTTTGATCATGTGACCATGGGGATGCTGTGTGAAAAATGGTCATGAGTCACTTTTTCCAATGCCGTTGTAACTTTGAACAGTCACTAAATGAACTGTGGTATATTCTGTTATGTCTGTAAATGAAGTTTTGTTTTCCTGTTGCCTTTTGCCTACAATTACAGTTCTGATTTTTCTTTCCCTGCCAGCAATGGAATATATATTGCTCCGTCTGGTGTCCAAAAAGAAAGAATACAGGTAAATATGAGTAGTATTTTTATCTGGATTGTAGCCTTGAAAATAAATCCACAACCCACCCACACTTATTCATGAGAAAGTCTTCCTGAGTTCTTTCTAGAGGAACACACATGGGAATGTTACCGCATGTGTCTTACAAAAATAATTTTCATTTTTGTTATTTGCCTCCTCTGGACTGTGTGAGATTTTAAAGTCAAATTCTAGGGGGCATTATGAATGAGAGGGGCAGCAAAAGTGAAGTATGCTATAGTAATCTTTTCTTTTTGCATACCATCTAATTTGGACATTTTATTAATAAGTAGAAGGAAGTCCCTCCCTATAAGATGGTCAAAAGACAATCACTTTGACAGGCCATGGCAGGAAGCTTTTTATTTTTTTATTTTTTTATTTTATTTTTATTTTTTTCAAAAAATTTTTTATTGTTTTCAACATAGAAAAAAAAACACATCACAAATACATCACAATTGAAACCCCCCCCCATCCCCCACCCGGACTTCCCAAACCTAATCCCAGGATACTATTCAACTAAAAGTAACCTTATATTAATATCCCTAACTCCACAAAGTATTATTCTACATAAGTAGGTGAAATATATATATATATATAAAAAAAAGAATTTTTTATCTAAAAACCTAACTTATATTCCACCATTCTATGCTTATTTTGAATATAAACAATCCATCTTCTCCATGTTGATAAAAATTGTTCATTTGAGTGATCCTTCAAATAAGCCGAAATCTTTGCCATTTCAGCAAGATGCGAAACCTTCACTCTCCAGTCCTCTATTGTAGGTAAAACTTTACTCTTCCAGTTTTGAGCTATCAGCAAACGGGCAGCAGTTAGACAATACAACATCAAATTCGTTTCTTTTACATCCAAGTTATGTGTGAT